GGAAGGGAGGAAGGAAGGAAGGGGGGGAAGGAAGGAAGGAAGGAAGGAAGGAAGGAAGGAAGGAAGGAAGGAAGGAAGGAAGGAAAAGGAAGGAAGGAAAAGGAAGGAAGGAAAAGGAAGGAAAAGGAAGGAAGGAAAAGGAAGGAAGGAAAAGGAAGGAAGGAAGGAAGGAAGGAGACAGCAGGTGGCAGGAGTTAGCTGTGAGAGGCAGTGGCCCTGGACCTGTGTGAAGCTGTGCCTGAGCAGAGCCAGCGGCAAGCCAGGAGAAATGATTGTAAAACACAGCGAGGCTTCATGAGTCACTGTGCAAACAAAGAGAGCTCAGAGCAGCAGCCCCCAGCGCTCCAGTGCTGCAGCGTTCCTGTCACAACCGCAGGATCACAGAACCTCCTGGGCTGGAAGCGACTCATGGGGATCATCGATCCAACAATCACCAATAAAACACCCAACATTCCCACCCTGGGCATCCCTGCAGCGCTGTCCAAACGCTCCTGGAGCTGCTCTGGAGCCTCGGGGCCATTCCCTGGGGATCTGGGCAGTGCCAGCAGCCTCTGGGGGAAGAACCTTTCCCAAAATCCAAACCGAACTTCCCCTGGCCCAGCTCCAGCCGTTCCCTGGGTGCTATCCTTGTCACGGGGAGAATAAATTGGTGCCAGCCCCTCCAGTGCCCCTCGGGAGGAGCTACAGACCCTGCTGAGTGTCCCCTCAGTCTCCTCCAGGAGGAACAAGCCAGCTCCTCATATTTCCATTCCAGACCCTTCAGCAGCTCCAGGTGACCCTGGATTAGCAGTGCCCACCAGCAGTCTTGGAATGTGGCAAAATTTGGCAGAAAGTTTGAGGAACGGGAATGCGCCGTGATTTGGGTGTAATTCAGTCACTGGAGCAGCCACTGCCAGTCAAGCGGTTTCCATGAGAGCCACACGGCCCCACAGCTCGCTCTGGAGTATGAAACACAAACACATCTCAGCCCAGCAGACCAGGCAGGCTCGGGGATTTTTGTTTATGTTGGGAATTTACACTTTTCCCGAGGATGACAGCACTGACTCTCCGAGAAGGTTCACCATCTGCTTTGCCTCCCCAGAGCCATTCCTGAACACATCCCTCCCCATCTCCTGACTACAGGACCACCTTTATGATATCAAATGTTTCCAAAATATTTCCAGAGGTTTTGGGCAGACTTTGTTAAGCAAAAAGATTTGTGAATCTCACCAAAACATCCCTCAGGATTCTTAAAACCATAAATGAGGAAAAATGCTGTTCCCTCCACTGCCTGGCGGCTCTCTAATGCTGTGCACCTGTTCCCCATTATCCCAACAGCTTGCTGCTTTTCCTAAATATTCTTCCATGTGGAAAGGGCTGTGCTTGAAACCATCAGCACTTAATGGCCCAGGATGGGACTGAGCACAGCCCTGGCATGGGCACAGGGCTCTCCAGGGTGACAGCTCCCAGCTCCACAGGCATTTCTCACCTTCTTCCCCTCCCGACCTTCTCCCAACATTGTTACTCTTAGGAACCTCTTAAAAGTTCAAATCCCTCCGCTGGTTTTGTCCCTCCTGTGGCTCCTGACTTTTTTATCCAGGTGAGGCCCCACCTGCAGAGCTGCTCCAGCCCCGGGATTCCACCACGGGAAGGACCTGGAGCTGCTGGAGAGATTCCAGAGGAGCCCCTGGAGCTGCTCCAGGGCTGGAGCCCCTCTGGAGCCAGGCTGGGAGAGCTGGGGGTGCTCACCTGGAGAGGAGAAGCTCCAGGGAGAGCTCAGAGCCCCTTGCAGGGCCTGAAGGGGCTCCAGGAGAGCTGGAGAGGGACTGGGGACAAGGGATGGAGGGACAGGACACAGGGAATGGCTGCCAGTGCCAGAGGGCAGGGCTGGATGGGATCTTGGGCAGGAATTGTTCCCTGGCAGGGTGGGCAGGCCCTGGGATAGAATTCCCAGAGCAGCTGGGGCTGTCCCTGGATCCCTGGCAGTGCCCAAGGCCAGGCTGGATGGGTTTAGAGCAGCCTGGGGCAGAGGGAGCTGTCCCTGCCATGGCTCAGGGGGTGAAATGGGATGATTTAAGGTCCCATGGAAGCCCAGCTGGTCTGCGGCTTCCTGATCCCGCAGTCCCCACAGCTCAGTGTCCCCACACAAAGGCAGCAGCCCCTGCAGCCCCTCCCAGCGCTGTCACAGCTGCCTGGCACAGGAACCCGGCAGCACCGACTGAAGTGTTTGTAACAGAAGCTGTCA